GCTGTCTGTGCCCTGGAACAAAGGCTCCCTGTGGCTCTCTTGCAGGCAGGCCAGGACAGGGCCTGAGCTGCTGAGATGCTTCAAGGACAGGTGCACACACCCTCCCGGGTTCCAAACCTGGCTTTAGTCCCTGGGAAAGGGTGGAGATGTGCCTATGAGGCTTTCCAACCGCTGATTTTTTTTTTTTTTTTTAAATCAGAGGAGGAGCCTCAGGGCAATCAATCATCTTCAAAAGGAAAACAAAGAGCATTAAAATTACATGATTTCTCTCGGGTGTCCGTGGTTGGGAAACCGGCAGTCCGGGCTCCTGGGCCGAGGTTCACGATGTCGGAGAAGGAAACGAGGCAGAGCGGAGGCTCCCCGGAGGCCAGCGGAGTGACTGTCAGCAACATACAGGAACTGATACGGCGCAAGGAGGAGATCGAGGCGCAAATCAAAGCCAACTATGACGTGCTGGAGAGCCAAAAAGGCATCGGGATGAACGAGCCACTGGTGGACTGCGAGGGCTACCCCCGGGCAGACGTGGACCTGTACCAAGTCCGAACCGCAACGCACAACATCGTCTGCTTGCAGAACGATCACAAGGCGGTGACGAAGCAGGTGGAGGAGGCCCTGCACCAGCTGCATGCTCGCGACAAGGAGAAGCAGGACCAGGACCTGGCCGAGGCCCGCACGGAGGCCATGAGCCACGGCCTGGGCCAGAGCCAGGACCTCAGCCCTGTTCAGCCTTCGCCATAGCGAACAGCATCAGCCCTGGCTCCCCTGCCAGCATCGCAGGTCTGCAAGGTGGATGACGAGATAGTGGAATTTGGCTCTGTGAACACCCAAACCTTCAAGTCCCTGCAGAACATTGGCAGTGTGGTCCAGCACAGTGAGGGGAAGGCCCTGAACGCGACAGCGAAACGCAGAGGGGAGAAATACCAGCTTAGACTCGTGCCAACACGCTGGGCGGGAAAAGGACTGCTGGGCTGCAACATTATTCCTTTGCAAAGATGATTGTCCCTGGGGAACAGAAACAGGCAAGCATATTCCCTTGCCCCAGACTTGGGTCTAGTGGGCATTTCCTCCTCCTCTTCTCTTCCTGAAGCTCAAGGATCTGCAAGAGGCTGGGGGCCTGAACTTCTAGGTGGCGGAAACGCTGTGGCCTCCCAGTGTGATCTCTTGGGATTAACACGTTGCTAAAAACTTGATCTGTGTGTAGCATCTTTTGCAAATTAGGCCACGGCCCTACATGGGAATCCTGTGGACTGTGAGCAAGTGGGCGGGAGTTATTCTGGTAGGTGCTGATGCGACTTTATTCTTCTAGAAATGTTGTTTTTTTCCCCCAAATAAACAGTTTTACAGTGTTAAAAAAAATACATGATTTCTTTAAACACTATAATGATTTTCTAGTAGTTATGGGGGTGGTTAGAAGTGTAGATAGTGGTGAGCAGTATAAAATACCAGGACTTGAATCAGCAGATGTGAGTAGCTTGATCACGGCTGACTCTGTGGGCCTCCCTTTTGCCACATGGAACAATCTCTTTGGGCCATAGTCTCCTCATCTGTAAGATGGGGTAATACGAATACTGATCTCGGAAGGTTGCTGTGGGGGATTAAATAGGATATAAACTAAAATGTGTACAACACTTAGCCCAGTGACTGTACATGGCGGGTCCTCAATACATGATTTCCACTCCTATAACTTAACAGTATGTCAAATGGAGGTACTTCCTGTAGCCCTAAAATTGTGAATAAGGCCCATTTGAGGAAAACAGGCTCCAAGTACCCTTGCTTTGTAAGTTCAAGGAACTGACAGAAGGACCAGTTACCCTCCCACGAGACAGCACTAGTCCAGAATTAGTCTTACAACCAAAGACCATCACCACCAGCCTCTACCCACTGCACCCAAAGTCAATATAAGAAGATCCAGATGAGAGAATGTCACTGAGGTTGGGCGTGGGTGGTCACGACTGATGATCACAGAGACAGGATATCTCCTCCCCTCACCAAGGAACAAGACAGTGGGGTCCTTGCACTCCTTGAAGTCGAGGGAGTAGAGGCTTCAAGAGAATAACTCCAGGTGGTGGTGGTGGTGTTCTAGTGCCCAGCTGGGACACCTGCTTAGCAGGGACCTGGCAGATCTGCCTGTTTGCCACCTAAGCTGGGGAGAAAGAGCTGGAGAGAGATTGTATGGCGGGGACTTCCAGGTGACAGGAGGCCTGTTCCATCACTACAAGTGGAAGACAGAGCCCACACATTCCTGCTGCTCTATGGTGGGTGACGCAGGGACTGTGAGACCGAGGCCTACGGCCTTACCAGGACCACCCTAGTGTGGGGACGAAGAGGGGCCTGAATCAGGGGGATGGAATGTGACTGCTACCAGCTGGGGGTGAGCTAGAAGAGCGGTCAAATCTCACAAGAGACTACTGAGGCCCTGGGAGCAGCATGGGAGTGAGTGCTGGTCAGCAGGGCATGCAGAGACCCCCAGTGGGGACAGTGGCAATGATGGCCCACCAAGAGGAGGGCAGCAACTTCATCCCCAGCAGAACTCTGCTGCCTCTGCTGCTGCCCCAATCCTGGAGGCTCAGGCACAGGAACGAGGGAAGGGAAAGGAGGTCAAGTCATCACACCCCCCAGACCCCCTCAACCTTCCAAAGCCATCTGTACTGGGGGGCACCGGGGAAAAGAGCTTTGAGTCTGAGACTGAAGTTTAAAAATGAACAAGACTGAGTCTTAAGTACTGACATAATCTGTTCTAATAACTGCACAAGACTGAAGGGAATGGGTTCTGGCCCAGGTATCATTAAATGAGTCTCAACCAAGCAGGAAAGATGGGGGTCAACATAGCACAGGTGGGGGCAGTTACTGAAAAACTTACCTCATGGTTATACCCCAGTGACTGATTCCTCAACACACTGGTTCCAGTCTGCTCTTCTCTGCTCAGACTCACAAGGGCCACATCCCACCACCGACCAGGGGGCTGGGGCTGAGTCTGTCTGCACCATATGCCTTCATGGGCTGCCCAGCATCTTCCGAGACAGTGTTCCAGCCAACAAAGGTTCTAGATCTTTTTTGATTTCTTTCACCCGTACATGGCACGCCCACATTTTATCCATCTGCCTTCCCCAAAGACACCATGAACAGGAGCTCCGAAATCACAGACCTGGGTTCCAATCCTGGCCCTGCCACTCACTCACTGCGGGCTTTATAACTTCTTCCAGGGAAAATTTCCTCATCTGTAAACTCAGCACATTATAAATTCCAACGTCAGTTGTGAGAGCTGGAGCTGATGCAGATAAAAGCCTTCAAAGCACAGTTGGTACTTATTCATTCAACAAATATTTGTTGAGTAGATCCTCTACGCCTTAAGGTATAGAGAAGATGGGGCAGGGGAGAGACAGGACAGGCAGAAGGCAGGACAATGGGTAGACAGATGGCAGGGTGGCCAGGGGCACCTCCAGGCCACATGAGATGAAGCTGGCCTACAGAGTCTGCATCCCCTGGAGCCCTTTCTGCTAAGCGTGACTTGTAGGAGAGAAGCCCCTGCTGATGCTCTGCTGCGGGTGGGGTGCACAGGCCCGGGATCCAAGCATGCCCAGGACCTAGGAGGAAGGTGTGCCTGCCACTTCCACCAGCATGAGAACTCTCTACCAGGAGGAAGCAATGTGTTCCTTGGAATAGAAATTTGCATCTCCCTACCTCTCCACGGAAACACCAACACCAACCCCTCATGCCCCAGCGATGCGCATGCCACATGCCATTCAGCCTAGATCTCATCCCCCGGAGGAGGAGGGCCCATAGCCCAGAGCAAAGGAATCCTCCACGGACCCTTCTCTCAGAGCTGAGATTAAGGCTGACCACCGAAAGCTGCCTCAGAGACCTCTGGAAGCAGTGTGACCATGTCTGACCCGGGGCAGCCCCAGCCTGTTAGAGGTCCCACTTGGGGAATTCCGTGCAGAGACACGAGACACCAATAGCGGCCGCCCACTCACAACACTGGAAGAGACTACAGTCCAGAAACACAGCCAGGAAAACCAAGCTTTCACCACACAGCAGAGCAAAGGCAAGGAACAGGCCCCCAAAGGATCACGCTTGCAAACCTACGCTACACTGGGCTGCGTCCTTCCGCACCGCTCCCCGCCTCCCCAGCCCTAACTACCAGAGTCAATGCTAACCAGCAGCTCTGCAAAATGCGACCAGGATAGGGAAAGGGCCTCATCTGAGGCCCATGCTGCTCTACCTGTTCTGGGAAAACTGGAGGAGGTGCAGCCTAATGAGTTTGGGAGGATGCTGGGGCCTATGGCCGCTCGGGAGCCAGCAGCTGCTTGTATTTACAAACAGGAGAGAGACAGAGCAAGTTTCCAGAGTGAGCTGTTGCCCGAGGAAGCTGAGAATTCAGACCGGCCATCTCCAGACCAACACCTAATGAACAGCGAACCACCAGCCGACGCTAATGTGCTAATTAGCCACGAAATTGGAGTTAATGAAAAACTAATCACGATGTCAAGATGGAGCACCTCATTAATAAATCACATGCTTTTTTTTTGGGCGGGGGGGAGCTAGGAAAAGTGCCGCTTCTTCTCATAAAATTAAGAGAAGGATTAGGCATTTTTCCCTGGGAACTTGCACAGTTTAAATATGCTCCGTGGTTAAGTGTTCTCTCTCCCACAGATAAGGCTTGGCTTGATAATTAACTAAACTGCCGGTCGCGTGAATAAAGTCGGTGCTGTTTGATGAAGCCCTTCTCAAAGAGAAGCAGCTCCGTCTTCACTGCTCCCTCCGTGTCTTGCCGACAAGGCTGGCACAGCTGGGTCGGCACTCTCAGAGATCCCTTAGGTTGTCAAAAGGTTGGCATCGTCAAGTGCAGACAAGCATCGAGTGGCCTCAAAACCCGCAAGAGACAAAACCGGAGAAGCCCACCAGCACCCCTTGGCTTAACTCTAAAAACGTCATCAATAGGTAACAGGTGGGCATTTCAAACGATAAAGGGCAGCTTTATGACAAGTGCTCAGACTCACCTTCTGCAGACAGCCCCTGGATGTTTATTCCCTTAGCCGCCAGGAAATTCAAGCAGGCATCTATGTTTTCAATCTGGGGGGGGAAAAAAAACCAATATACACTCAATAAATGTTCAGTCTTCTCCAGAGCCATCTCTTATTAGGAACAAAAGTCTATGTCAGCGAGAGGGTTCATTGTGCGTTTGCTAAGGTTCTCAAAGAGGAAAAAATGACATGAAAACACCGGATGGATAGATGGAGGCAGGTCAGTACTCTCCTTTGTCTGTACTTGCACAGGAAAAGGCTACCTAATATGCCAACCACACGCAGCGTCAGAAGTCAAGGCCTTGGATTGCTCACGGCTGCCAAAAATAACCAGGGGGGAATTGGAGCTCTCGTGTTGGTCACTGTCGCCAGTGCTATCCTCAACACTTGAGCAGCTGCCAGAAACACAGAGGTGGGGACAAGGTTAGGAGACCCTTCCACCTACCAGCAGCTGGGAGAGACTTCCCAGCCCCCGAGGAGGTGGGCAGTTAAGCATAAAAAGAGTGAATGGGCGTCTCAGCAGGAATCTGGGTAGTGTTTACTTACAAAATTCTCAGGATGGCAGGCATCGCAGAGGACGGGGAGAGCTGCAAACTCACCGAACCTCTCTGTCCTCTGTGTTTCCTGTGGCAGAGGGGACCCGACCCCACCAGGGTCTGGGAGGCCTCCCAGGCTTTCCAGGGCTGATGCCACGGCCAAGGGCAAGCTCACGTCCAGCCCTCAGGAAGGAGCAGTTAGATCATTCCCAAAGGTCTGATTTGCCTTCAGTTGTCAGGGCTAATTATTTTGTGGTCTACAGGAAACTGTTCGGGCTCGATTCATGTCAACGGTGACCAAAAATAAGAGAAACTGCCTTGGACTTGGCACAGGGAACTTTGGATTTCACACGGCTTGCATTTCACAGCGGAGATCTTCCTCACCTCCGCAACCCCTCAGCCCCCGCCCGACTTCCCAGGCTCCAGCCACACGCTTATGAACTCCAACCAGTATTTGACCCATGGGGTTTGTTGTGAACTCATAAATGACTCTCTTTCACAGCGTACATGTGACCCTTCTCCCTCCCCTCCCCCAAGCAACATCCTGATGGTTCCTTCAGAGCCACAGAGTGAAGTGTCTCCGTTTTACAAGCTCTCATTTGAGTACAGTCTGGCTCCAAGGCAGTCTTCCTGAAGTTCATGTCCACCCTCCCCTGATGTCTGGCATTCTCCTTCTCTGCTCCCGGTCTTCACAGCTTCCAAACACGTTAAATTAAGCTCAGGGACACCTGAATAAAACTGCATCCATTCTAAGAGAATCCGCTCAACCCTGAGCTTGAGGTCACTCCATCCTCACAGTTTTTAGCTCAGGTTCCCAATCTCTTTCCCAGCTAACAGCTCACCTTCCAGGGTCTTCATCTGGGAGGCATTTTTTCATCTCTAAGAAAAGGGGTAGAATGCAATTTCCTACCAACGAAATAAATGCCGATGCTACATGTTATGCCTGCCACCATCGCAGAAAATCGTTTCTTACAGAGAGGGAGGAAAAACGAGATGGCTTTAAACTCTCCTTTCTTCTTTCCAGCGCAGGATGACTGACAGTGACAACCAAGTGCTACCACCTTGGAGGGAAGGGGGGCGAGGGGGAGGACGAGGAAGGAAGAGAATGGCTGGGAGGACCCTGTGCAAGGTGTTTTGGAGCAATCGGCTTCCATGTAGAAGTGTAATAAACATCATCTCTCTAAATGTTATTGCACTCTATCACAAAACCCTGCTTTTGAGAAAATACCAATCCTTATTTCATGATATTGTATACAGTGGTAATAGACCAAAACCATTCAAAAGGATTTGTGGCCTCTACACAAAGGCACTAGTATTGAAATCACAGTAAACTTACAAAATTCCTCTTCTACCGCTTGTCTCTTCCTATAATCCTATCCTACTTTTTTTTTTTTTTGGTGCGTATGTGTTTTTATTGTTTATCTATTTTTTTTAAATTTATTTTATTGAAGTATAACCGATTTACAATATTGTGCTAATTTCTCTGTACAGCAAAGTGATTCAGGTATATGTACATTCTTTTCCATTATGGTTTATCACAGGATACTGAATACAGTACCCTGAGCTATACAGGACCCTACCCTACTTCTAATATAATATCTTACACATGGCTCTGAAGGGAGGCTTTGGTAATTATGACCCCATAGCAAATGAGAAGAGAAATCTGACCACCCCTGAATCTGTTAATGCAAAATCAAAAACAGTGCACTTGGTATTGATATTTATCCTGGGAAGTGTCATGTAGGTGGGCTGACATGGGTAGGTTTAGTTTTTCAGCAACAGCGTGGCAGTGTGACACTAAATACAGAAAAAGGGACAACTGCCAACATATGCAAGAAAAGTACTGCTCTACTAACACTGCAATTCTATAGAATTTTCCCTCCAAGGAGCATGGAGTACGTTTCCTTGTCACATCTATGGAGCATTTGATGTATGTAGCACCATTTAAAGTCCATGGTAGGACTTCCCTGGTAGAGCAGTGGTTAAGAATCCGCCTGCCAATGCAGCGGACACGGGTTCGATCCCTGGTCTGGGAAGATCCCACGTGCTGCAGAGCAACTAAGCCTGTGTGCCACAACTACTGAGCCTGCGCTCTAGAGAGCCCACGTGCCACGACTACTGAGCCCGTGTGCCACAACTACTGAGCCTGTGCTCTAGAGTCCACGCACCACAACTACTGAGCCTGCGAGCCACAACTACTGAAGTCTGCATGCCTAGAGCCTGTGCTCTACAACAAAAGAATCCACTGCAATGAGAAGCCCACATACCGCAACGAAGAGTAGCCCTGGCTCGACGCAACTAGAGAAAGCCCGCGGGCAGCAATGAAGACCCAACACAGCCAAAAATAAATAAATAAATAAATAAATAAATAAATAATAAATTAAAAAAAATAAAGTCCACGGCAATTTCTTCTTGCAAGGCTACCCTTGGTACATTTCAATTCACCCATGGGGCTTTCTTTTTAAATGTTAAATTCTGTTAAGGGGAGAAATAATTATAAACAGGTTACCTAGAATATTTCCTCTCTTGTTGATTTTTGTTACAGTCCTATCATTCTGTCAACCAATTTCATAATTTTGATCAATAGTTCTTTGCTGAGTAAGGGAGACTGGGAAAGGAAGAAGATTTTGCCCCCCAGGGGGCATGTGGCCACATTTGGGGTTGTCACAACACTGAGGGAAACTGACATCTAGTGAGCAGAGGCCAAGGATGCTGCTGAACACCCTGCAAGGCACACATCAGTTCCCTCCCAACAAAGAACTATCCAACCCCAAACGTCAGCAGTGCCAAGGGTGAGCAGCCTGAGGGGTATGATTCTTTCAATCACTCAATCAACATCATTGTGCGGATGTCTGTTCTGTGCCAGGCACTGTGCTCGATTCTTTTGACAGTGTTGGGCGAGTCTTCCCCCAAGTCCAGGAGCCCACATTTACATAATCCTTCTCTTTAGGGTCCACAGAGCCCCTCGACATACACCCCCTGACTCCCGTCCATTTCCAGGAGAATCAGAGCATATAAACAAGGGAAGCACTAGGATCTCCCTACATTAGGTGAAGGAGGAGACCTAAGGGCACTAGGAATGCTTTCTCCTAAAGAGGAGATGAAACGGGGGACACTATCCAGATGGCCAGATTGCACTCCCAGAAAATGTAAAACCTGAAAATAAGAACTTGAGTCGTCATTTAAAAGACGATTCATAAGCCCATCAAGAGCCTTGAATTTTTTCCCCTCTACCATGAATTCTCAGCTCACAGAGGAGTTCAAAAAACATTCCTCAAGTTTCAAATCCACTGTTTAATAATGTTCCATTAAGGCTAAAAATCACTCCCGACAAGGCGGCCGAGACCCACGCTCTTTTCATCTGCACCCCAGGAAGGGCACGGGGCTGGGAAGCAGCATAGGGTCAGATGTGGATTCCAAGCTCCCGCTTCACTTGGAATGAGATCAGAAGAGGAGAATGTTTCTTTGATCCACGCTCTCTTGTGATTCAAATTCACCTTAAGGTTTTCTTATAAATACTGTTCAGGTAAACAATCCATCCTCCAGTACGACTGAGGCTGCAAACTCCCACCACATCCCTGGAGGGGACAGGACGGTGGCAGGACCCTGGGGCATCAGCACAGCACAGTGCGGCCCTAGAGCCCATCTTTAACGAGGCTCATGGCTCATATGGGATCCAGACATGCAGTGCAAGATGAGGATAGGATCCTGTTAAAGTTGAGAGGCAGAGTGAAGGAAAAGACTCTTCACCAGCAAAGTATGTAAATACAACGAAAGTTGTTCATTAACACATAGCGGCCAATATAAACTACTTTCCAAAATTAGCTGAAAAAAAAATCTGTGCGAAGTCTGACATTCCAGTGTTGCTGATGGGTGGGGAGGGGCCCTGGGTGAGAAGGCTGTTGTAGTTGTTGCCATAGAAATGGGTCCAAGAACTCTGGAATCAAGCTCCTGGAGTTTACTAGCTGGGGTAGAGGCAGGAAGCTGAGAAGGGGGACAGAACACCGGAGACCCTGGAAGCAGAAAGGAGCTGGATGGAGGAGTGGGCGGAGTAAGGGGACAAACCAAGACCAAGATGTACTTCCCAGAGTTTCCCTTTGTTTGGGGCCATATGTGGCCTCAACCCTGTGTGGTCCATGAACATCCAAGAGAGACAGGCTGCAATTAAGCCTTTCTCCCACTCTCAGCCAGGCTCTCCATTCCAAAGTTGAATAGCTTCTCAACAGTCTCTAAACTTTAGACCTGCAGGGCAATTTCCATGGACCATGTATGTTGTAGCCTATGTCTCCCACATCCAGAAATACATCCCCAAACAGGCCAGGCACAGAGCAAGGAAAATCAAAACAAATGGCAAACAACTGGAAAGAGAAGGGAGGGGGGATCGGAGGCAAATGGAAAACTTCACATTTCAATCATGATTAAGGCTGGACTGGGTCTCATGATAACATAAAATATGCAAACCTCAGAAGCACTGCTGTATATCTCCTCGGTAGCTTAGAGACTGATCAAATAC